TGTGAGAAGATGGTGATATCGAATAACCAAGTACCAAGATACAAATCCAAGACTGTACAATGGTATTTTGTTGGTATGGCATTTGCAGAATACCATGGTATTATATCATAGCATTTTGATATTTCAATCAATAGCATAGTAATACCTTGGTAAATGTCTGATAAAACATAGTAATACCATGGTACATTGTGGTGTAAATATGGTGACACTGAATACCATGATACATGTCCAAAATACCATGGTCGCCTTGCCATGTCATTTATGTTAAGGCATCTTACAGAATAGCATGGTATTTCAAAGAATAAATGTCTGAAAAATATTGATTAAAACGCCCACACACACACTAATGGAGACTCGCAAGAATATGCACACACAATAGGCTAACGCAGGAAGTTTCTCGACTACTCACATATCCATTTATATAGCAGCCTATGAGTTGTCAGCGCGCTCGCCCTCGCAACAAGGACGTCTAGAAAGGTCAGTTATGCAGCATTAGAGTGCAGCTGGGTGTATGTTTGTGTGTGTCCACAAGCAAGGACGATCCCATTCATCTCGGCTCCGAGCTGCTAATGCTGCTGATGAGAGAAACCCAACCTCATAAACAAGGTAAAGAAAAAACTCAGGGGAGCTAAAGCTCGGGGATCCGACGCTTGCACACACACAGTTGGCTGTAATGAGTCTGCGTGTGGTGGCAATCAGAGTGTGCTGTGGCGTATTCCCCCGCTCGCCGAGCTAAAGGGGTAATCAAAATTTAATTACGCAGAAAATGAAGGGCAAAACCCCACGATCCAGGACCACGCAAACGACTGCTGATTGGTGGATGACAGATACACGTTTGAGAGAGAGAGAGAGAGGGAAATTAAATTCAAAGATGGCAATCACCATACTTTACTCCTGTCCCACGATGACGTACCACAGGATCTTTGACAGACGACTGTCCCTGTGTCAACCCCGTTACTCAAAACATATGCCCCATCTTAGCACGGATCAAAACTCTTCAACAGAAAAAAAACAAAAAACTGTTTGTTCATCTTACAAAAAGCATATGGTTTCAGAAGACTATGAGGTAATGTATTGAACACAGTAAAAGTTTGAAGTACAGATACCCCGTTAGCCTACTCCTAAAAAAAAACTACTCCTAAATTTAGTAAAAGTACTGCTTAAATAATGTCTAGCTGAAAAGATTATGAATTAGGTTATTATTCATTGGTCAACCAACCTTAAGGAAGATTAGTGTAGAATATACAAATAAGTGATAACTGCGAAAACAACGGTAAATATAGTCTTTGTTTCTTAAACAAGAATATACACAAGTCAACATTTGAAGTGGATCAAAACCTTTCATCAAAGTTGTCCTAAAACCAAAATGTGCTCTTGTCTTAGGACAACTTTGATTAACTTTTTTGATCCACTTCAAATGTTGACTACTAGGCCTATACAATGAGCAGCTAATTCTTACAAAGCTGATTTAGCACATTACGATAAACAATACTATATGGTCGCAAGTTCCGCCGTTACCAATAGAGTTGAATGGCATTAACAACCATAGTTAGCTAATAATGCTTTTGGCAAACGCACCCAGATCAGTTAACTAACAGTTAACTATTGAAAAGAATCATTTGTTTACAAATCGGACATGGCTGTCACATCTTGCAGTGAGTCTTGAGTTTTTTACTCCAAAATAACAGGGAATGCCATGTTTTATTTTCCTGAACTCTAGTGGCTTAAAAACGTACGATTTTATGCACTGATATGTATATGATCAATTTAGTATGTTGAGACTTTTCCAACCGAATCAGTGAGTTCTTACATTTACATTCTTATTCTGAGAACTGTGGCGATCGACTCATTCCAATTCGCAAGATTTAAATCATTCTGAGATTTGTAAACTAGTTTCAGATTGATTAAAAAGTATCGCAATCGCCTCTTGCAGCTGTTTGCGAGTGCACTTCGAAATAACGAGGAACGGCATTTAGCGTAGTATAAAGTAAGGTCATTTAGCAGAGTATAAAGTAAGATATTGTGCATAGAAATGTAGTGAAGTGAAAGTTTACTCTCAGATACTTCAAAAATGAACTGATAACTGAAAAATACTTCGACAATCTTTGCTCACTACGTACTTGAATGTTCCATAGAAGAAAGTCATCTTTTGAAAAGGTTTGTGTTCACATTTGAGTGAACTGTTCCTTGCTCACAAAACTTATGCATTTTTTAAATTCATTCTGCACTGCCTCAACGTCTTGTCACAGCATCCTGTCGGCTCGGGTTGTCCACAGAGCTTAAGAGCATGACATGGCTTCTCCTGACCTTCAACCCTCGTTTATCGGCTGCCGTCTGCCTGGCCGTCTAACTCACTTAGTGCTTGGCTCTCTGCTCTTATCAACGGCTTCACTGACAGACGACGAAGACACCGGAGAATAACTGCCTCACGTTGTCACCGACAGAACAGAGAGAGAGAGAGAGAGAGAGAAACAAGAAGAGGGAATTGTCGAACGCGGCGGCCTCAACACCCTACAGACTTTGATGGCCCTGAGCCTTGAGATGAAATTTCAAAGCGTTGTCTCTCTCGCGCTCTCTCTCCTCATCTTGCAGTCTCGCTGCAGAAGGCAATTATGAGTCCCTGGTCTCTGCGTCCGCCCACCTCCCTGCCGTCTCGTCTTTGCATTCCTCTATTTTTCCTCTTTCCTTCCCTCATTACCCACTTTCCCACTCTCGGCTTTCTCTCTCTCTCTCCGCTGTGAGTCATGCAAATCAGCAACGCTCACATGGAAAATATATCGGAATCATTAATAATTTTAGGGCAAATTTCAAAAAGGTGGAGAGGATGCTTGGGAAAAAATGTCAGGAAGGCAGAGAGGGGCCATTTTAATGGAAAGTAAGTAATCATAGCGGGCCATTCGAGATGAAACGCAGCAGAATCCTTTGACGACTAAATGACGACGATGCCCTTGAGCGCTCATCCGAGGTCGGCTTTCCTGTATTTAACTATTGCACGCAGATCTAGCAAAACCCGATCTCAGATCAGCTCCAGAGGGCACCTGGCAGCAGCTTATTTCAATAACCAAATCCACAATGACGGGAAACCTGATCTCTCGCAGTGCGCAGGCCTGACCAGATCATATTCTGCTTTTCCCTGGAGATGCGAGATGCTATCTGAGGCCAGGTTTTAAAAATAAAGGTTTCAGTCAGAAGCAAAATGGATTTTACAGGCACAAAGAACTTTCTAGATCTTTAGAAAACAATCTATGTACTGGTGCTTTGAAGAGTCCAGAAACAAATCAATCAGCAGAAATTCTAACATCTCGGATTTCACATATAAGAAACCATAGTTCCTCTTTAATGTTTTGAGGAACTGTTTGTGTAGCAACTCTGATCCTGCATCATTGTTGTAGAAAAATAACTAGAAAGCCACCAATGAAACATCAATGTCATTTTGAGTCTTCTTGAAATCTTCATTTTGAAATGAATGCTCTGGTTTCAGTACAAGTTAAGCTCTGTCAGCAGTATCTGTGACATGCCCCTCAGTTCATAAAAACAAGCAAAAATCTTTTAAAGTAATACACTATGGAAGTCTATGGATGAGTTTATATCTCGCAATTTTGAGAAAAAGTCAGAATTGCGAGTTTATAATCACAATTTTGAGAAAAACATTGGAGATGTAAATTTTGATCATAATAAGGCAGAATTACTCCAAAGGACATATTTAAGCTCTCCAGAATTTCTTGCCCTGTTGACTTGTACAGTACATTAGTGTAAACAAATTTTGTTTGTTTTTACAACCTGACAGACTTGAAATTATTTTCTGAGGTGGTGCATTCTGGGATTGCAAGAATCAGCTTAACTAAGAGTTTGTGAACTGTTCAATAAAACGTACAAACTGTTTATGATATAAATTTACACCTCCTAACATATTGTACAATCCCTTGTGTGAATTAAGGCCTTACATAAGTGAATGTAGCTTTCCATGATGCACTGATAGCCTTAAATCTGTGGTTGTAAAAATAATTACCGTGGCAAGATTTACAGTATAACTGAGCCATTTATATGTTTTAATTACGGTTGAATTGCCATTCCGTTTGTCACGCCTAATTTACGGTAATCTACTGTAACCTAAATACTTCAACACACAGGGGGTGGCGTAAATCAATAGCTCAGATGTTTTAAAACGATTTTTCAACACAAAAATATAATTTAAACGTACTAGAGAGTTTTCAAACTTTTCAATGAAAGCCTCTTGAGGGTGTTTAAACGTTTGGCTCCTTCCACTGAGTCCACGTTATTAAATTCAGCTTCCTATAAATCAATTCCCTAACCGAATTACACACCATCTTATTTCGTTACACAGGAATCTTGTCGTCTCGTCTCCATAGAAACAACTTCGCGACACTGATTTTTGACCACCGCCATGTGGTTTGTTTCGGCCACATCGGTGGCAGCACTTGTACACAGCTTGTCTTGTTATTGTCACCAGACGAATAGGATGTCATTCCTGATGTTTCTGAAGGGTTGCATTCTGGGAAGTCCCAGACTGTAACAGATGACCAAAAGTGAGGCCGCTGAGGAACCTGACAAGCTGCCACTGAAATGGCTCAGAGAGCGACGTCAAATACTCTGAAGAGTGAGAAATTGTAATAAGACAGCTATTTTCTTGCCTTGGAGACAAGACACAATCCCCTTAACAAGATGGCAGCATCCGTCCTCTCCATTAGCCTGTCCTGCTAGTTTGTAACTCACTTTTACCCGTCTGCACCTAGCAAGTCATGTTTTAAAATAACTTTAAATTAACGGTTTGACGAATTCTGAAGAATATCAACTCTCCTAATTTCCCTTCATTTTCCATCCTTGCAGTTTTTGCACCACAAGCATTTTGGCCTTGATTCTCTGCAAAGGAAAACAATAGTGTGCGCTTTTGAGTTGCACCTGATCCCAGAACCCCTTTGTGCACCCAGAGGAAACGTTGCATCATACCTCATATCCTACACCGGTGGTCTTACGATCCTCCAAAACTCCATCGTACTGCCTGGAAGTTTCAGTATGTCACGCCACAGGCTAGTCTTACATCAGCTGTGGCAGACAAACAGTCGAAGTTAGAGAAATGCTAGATCAGCAAATCCAACTGATGGCCTTCTTTCCTGTATAGTTCTCCCAGCATCCCTAATTAGGGTGCAAAAAGGAAGACGAGAGAAAATGTTTTTGGTTTGGACTAGGAATGTTGCAGGAAATATAATGGAAAGTTGACAAACATGTGATACCCACCTCAAACCATGTTTTATCATGGTGGAACTATTATGGATCCACCAGTACTAAAGGTCAGTTTGTCTACTCGTCTGACCAGCTCCAAGATACATGGAGTTCAAAGAGCAAATTGTAGATTGTTTGGCTCTTAGACAACAGACAAAGCTGAAGTGTATTAAAAAAAATGAGTTTTTTTTTTACCATACAGTGTGCAGCTTGTCAAGAACTTTGCAGAACTTTTGGTCTATAATGAACTGTGTAATGCAAAGTCAATATATCTCTACCTGTAATGCTTCAGCCAAATGGGTCAACAATAAATTTGTTTTGGACCAAGTAATGACTATATTTAGAACAACTTGAGATAGCAATGAACTAGTACTGTACGTAGGGTTGGGTATCGTTTGGGGTTTTTACGATACCGGTGCCAAATCGATACTTTTAAAACGGTTCCGGTGCCTGAACCGATACGTTAAAAATAAATAAATAAATAAATACCCAAAATAGGATGGATTGGCCATTATTGAGCGCTATAAACACATTTAATGTCGGTTTCATTCATACTGGACGCCAGAGGGCGCCCTCGCGCAAAAAACTCCACATTTGCATCACAGAAGTAATAGGACTCGGGAAATCCCTATACTCTTTGCTAATATGGACAAAGGCATTGCTATGGCTGTAATTGAGTAGACAGAAGATATAAACATTTTGAATGATAAAACAAAGACAATAAACACTTGACTGCGACAATGTATAATTTATCTGTGTTATTCAAGCCATCTTTGGTATTTTCATAAGTATATTTATAATCAATTGCTAATCGACAGTCTTTTTACCATATGCTTTTTACAGTATAGAACATATTTTCTGCCTCATTCTGTGACAGGAAGCCACGTCATATCACAAAAGGAAGCAGTTGTGGAGTAAAAACGTTATAGTGTTCTCTTTTGTTGGACAACAGGTTTAGAAACGCTTCTCATTGCAAGTCATTACAAGGGAAGTTTAGCTTTAGGCATTTTAATTTAAGAATGTTTAGCTTAGCTAGCTAACGGTATCTACCTGCTGCCATCAGAGCAAGTGTAATTTCTGCATTCACGCGCTCCTCGGATGCTCTCATTTCTCGAGTTGTGCTTTTAAGTCAGAATGTGAAAACAACATGGACACTCGTTACTACAAAGACGTGTTGGATTTGTATTATTAGACCTTTCCAACTTGCGTTCGTAAATTTTCTCAGTCGAGAAATTATTTTTCACGTGCGGTGCCGGTGATCCTTACATCCGTTTCGGAGAACAACTATTTCATTAATCGCTCAAGCATTTAAGTGGCGCACTGAAATGAGGCACCGAAATCTGCGTTCTGATTCGGTTCTAGTACATACCGGTTACATAGGTACCGGTGCCAATGGTTTCGGTACCCAACCCTGTATGTAACCGAACTGTATGTCAGCAATAATTCTTCAATGATTTATTAAGGACATACCTACTAGGCAAGTGACCTTTCTTAGTGGTGACACCTGCTGAAAAGAGTATGTTTACATGGACAGTCTTACTTTCATGATATTTCATAACCGGATAACATGTAAAGTGATGTAAAAGCACTGATCTTTTATCAGGAAAAGATAATAGAAACAAGATTACAGTCCATTTACAGTATGTTTTGATGTCAAAACCAGACAAAAACGTATGTAAAATGTAAAAATCAATCTTGTGTGCATCTCTGTTTGCATTTTGTTTACACTTTACATTTGCAACTTTATCAGTGTAGAGATCTTTAACAGTTTTTAAGCAAAACCTCGTAACAGTTTATGTTTTGGTGTCAATACTAGACCAAAATGTATATGTAATTTCATCATGTGCTTTTGTTTACACTTCATATTTAAAATTGTATCAGTTAGATCATAAAAATTGTAATCAAAACTTTATTAAAGTCCAAAATGTTAATGTAAAATCGACTTGTGCAATGTCTGCTTACTTTTTCGTTTGACCTTTATGTCTTACACTTCACTTTACGTTACACTTTACAGTCTACATTTTATCAGAGTAAAAATCTTAAACAGTTTAAGCAAAACCTGATTACAGTCCATTTATGTTCTGGTGTTAAATTTAGACAAAAACTTAAATGCAATTTAGTCTTGTGTGCATATGCTTTACATTTTGGTTTACACTTTACGTTTCAGTCAGTGTAAAGATCATTAACAGTTAAAGTAAAATCTGATGATTTAGACAAAACCTTAAATGTAAATTTGTCTTGTGTGCATGTCTTGTTCACATCTTTTTACACTATAAAGAGATTATCAGTGTAAGTAAAACCTGATTAGTTCAAGTTTTGATGTCAGATAAATTTGATTCTGTGCATGTCTTACATTTTTTAATGTAAAATATTTACAATTTAAGCAAAACCAATGTTTTTTTTCATTTGTAAAACCAGACCAAATCTTAAATGTAAATTTGTTTTGTGCGCAACTGCGCATGTCATTTTACATTTTCAATTAACAGTTTAAGCAAAACCTAAAGTGTGCTTACCATTTGATAACACCAGACAAAAACTTCAAACTATAGATTTTATTAGAATACAAGATTTTAGCATGAAATACTATGCATTCAGTTTGAATGACTCAAAATTTGAAGACAAATCAAGCTAGATTCTTTTTAAACAAGTTGAAAATTCCAAAAGATCTTGTAGGGGTTAATGCGTATCTTTACTAAGTCTCCAAAGAGCAGTACAATTCCATATTAATAATTTCAATTTGACAGAATGCCTCAAAAAACTGCCAGCTGGCCACACAGGCATCAGCAAACCATTCCTTTAGTTTATAAGGCTTTTTCTTACAGTAGTGCGTTTAGGGCTATTAAACTAGTGTGGGCAGCTTAGATTAGAGACGTCCGTCATTAAGTGCAGCTCAAGCTGTGACTCAGCAGTGCAAAACGGAAAAATGCACTGCAGGTGCCCGGCTCTTTCAGATGTTGCCAGGTCTTAATATAGCGTGCCTGATCCCTTTGCGGACCTCAGCAGCAGCTGTGCGTGCCAACACAGGCCAATGTTTGCTGAGCACGATAAGGCAAGTACACTAGGCATACTGTAAAGTGATATTTTGCAAGGACATCCCAGAAGGAAATTATTCATTGTTAATCATGAGTTAAACACTTGCAGTGAGTAAAGAGTCACATCAGTGGGGTTGCATTTACAAAATGTTTATTTTCCGAACCATCTTTGTGATAGAAAAAAAAATACACGACAACTTTCCTTCTAGACAATTACTAACAGTAACTGTGACGTAATCTCCAGGAATCTGTCAACATCCATAAGAACCATCATACGATTCCATCAACGATTGACGTCATAAAGTACCAGCGGCTTTTCAGTGTAGAAATGCACGTTTTGTACATAATTAGTGATATTAATTCTCAGCCCAGCCTGTTATAATCTACATTAATACACTGCCAACACTACCATAACGGCCAATGAAATGCCTTTTGCATATCTTTTTTTAAATTTTAAATGTTGGCCTGTCTGCTTAAATCGCATTTCATTTCAAAAGCCTGTTTCCAAGCCAGTATCCAGGTTGTGCAATCACTATCAAGGGATATTAGCAGGGGAATTAAGGGTGCTTGTAAACCGGCGTCGAATACAAGTCTTTTTTTCCGATCCGGGGAATTAAGGATGCACGGAAGCCACCAGGGGCCCATTTGGCTTCAACCCCTGCTGCACCCTCTTGTGAACTTTTTTTGCGGTCCACCGGCGATGGATGGAGTAAGCTCTAGTTCAATTCCCGCAGCCACCGATACCAATTTCTTGCTTGTACCTGTTTGTTAAAGTGTTGGCTTTTCGGGTGAGCTTCGCCAGAACCGTATGCAGTCCGTTTAGATGAAAATGAAACTGCTTCTCCAAGTCCTCATCATTCGGTTCAATGCGAGACATCTCCAGGGCCGGCGTCACGCCGTGCTTTTCCTTGCGCCTCTCGTCGGCTTGAAGTACACCCCATTCGATATCGTTCCTAATTGATTTGAGAAGCATATAAGAGCCGTACATGTCTCCATCCTGGAAGGAGTTCACCTCTTTCTCTCCTTCCAGGTCCAATGTGACATCCCTCAGCAAACTTGGCACCATAATCGTCTGGTCCATGTTGGTCACGGCACCAATAAACCGGTTCATGGCATTGAAGAGGGAGTTTTTTTGGTTGTAAGACTCGCAGATTTGCATCATCTTTGCTGTCCTATTGACTTGCAGGGTTTTGATCAGAAGCAGAACGAAGAGCAGCAGTAGATGTAGTTATTCTTGGGCTGGACGGTCCAGATATATCTAATGGAGGGTTTATCCACTATTAATCGTGTCCAGAGAGTGCTCAGGTTCCTTGTGCGCTTCACTAAAGGGAGTTTCTGAGAGCGCAGGTGGATTTAAAGCAAGGGCGTGGCTTGCACACGTCAATCAAACGTGTAACCAGGTCGTAACCGGATAATGTGACCTGAAATAACACAGATGCGTGAAAGATTAGTGAGGATGCACACAATAATATATAAATCAAAAGAAAAAGCATGTAGAATACGAGGCAGAGAAGCCAAGAAATATAAAGAATAGGTTTACTAATCTTTTTCAGAATATGTACAAACATGCTTTGGTATGACATATACTGATTATTATGTCTTTAGTAAAACTAATTCGAATTGAATTTAAATATGTATTAAAAACTGTATTCTGAACGCGCATTATATGCTTCCTACCACTCCGGAAAAGCCGGCCGGCAAACTAAGCGTCAATCTATCGAGTCAAACAAATAACGCAAGCTTCTAAACACCCACCTTTGCTGATATTTGTCTTCCCTTAAATCCGAAAACGTCCGGCAAAGTCCAAGGAAACCGATGATAAAGTCGCTGAAAGATAGCAGACTCGTCTAGCAACCGACCGAGGGTGAGGCCGCATGTAGCTCGCTGCCGCGTATGAATATTCATGAGACGAGGCATCAGCCCACAGCCGCTCAGCCGCTCTCGTCCAATCAGAAGCCAGTCGCCAGGAGGACGGCGCCTCTCGACAGCCAATCAGAGGGCAGAAAGGGAATCCAGCAGCTTGCCAAGGCTGCAGCTCACGGTCAAAGACACGACAGTGGACGAGAAGGATAGCGTATGAGGGAACTACCGGACTGATGAAAGTACCTTCTACATTGCGTGTAGAGCTCATGCTTACAGCTTACAGGTTTCTTCATTCGCTTTATTTTCACTTCCCATTCTTAAATGTCGAATACCAACTTAATATTTTTTTTTTAATGTGTTTTTGTGTGTATAAATGGAGCTTTCTGATCTTATATTATCTTTTCAAGGACAATATGCCAGCAAGAACCGAAAATGCCCTTCACACCATTAGAACGATATTTGATGATAGCTGAAACACATCACAAAGTGACAAAAATACATAGTCTATATTTTATATAAACTTTATTTTTAAAAAGTTGAAAGATTATTCCTAAAGAGGTCGAATACCAAACTTGATATATATATATATATATATATATATATAAAAAAAACTGTTTTTGTGTCTTTAAATGGCGCTTTCTGATCTTACCACGTTTCAAGGTTAACGCCAAGAAAAACTACCGAAAATGCTCTTCACATCATCAGAACGATATTTCATGATAGCTGAAACATAAAGGTACTACTTTTTACATAAGACAGTCTACTTTATAATTTTTATTAAATGATCATTTTTTTCCTAAAGAGACTGTAGGCCTATGCCGAGCCTGCACAGATCAGTGGAATTATGCAAATACTAACTTGCAAATATTAGTATGATGTACAATGACACAAGGGGAAAGGGTGAATGTCATAAATCAAACACAGAACTATACATACAGCCTCACCAAAATGTATTTGTTCGCTCAAATCGCTTTTTCAGTCGTTGCTTTGAATAATATCAAGGAAAGTGAATTTTATTGTAAAGAAAGATAGCAGAAGAACACTATGCAAAACATGTCACAATTAAGAGGTTTGTTTGGGTTTTAAATGATAAAACAGTTTGTAAACTGTTCAAAATGAGGACAAAATGTATTGGACACTTCGCTATCAAAAGTAAGTGGAACATGCATGTAGACTCCACTTGTTTTGATGTTTCAGATCATTTTTAAAAGTGTCAGATAATACTTGCTTTTCTTGGGGGGGGGGGGGGGGG